TACTACTACTACTACTACTACTACTACTACTACTACTACTACTACTATTTAGCGCGCTCTCAACGTAGACACGACATACAGTACATGGCATACACTTGGCAGCAGCACTTAGCGCGAGCATACGGCGGACATACGGCGGACATACGGCGAATGTTTATGGCCAGCACCTTTTGTATAGATTTTGGATGAATCACTGCTGCTGCTACTGCTGCTGCTGGTGCTGCTGCCAGCACAAAAACGAACCATCAAGATGACACCAAAAAATCCTTGTGCAGCTCGCCGCACCCAAAAAAATCGTCGAAAGGGCAGCTGGCATCGTCGCAAAAAACAAAAAACGTGGTGATTTCTGGAAGGTCGTTACTGCTTGAAACAGCCCATGTTCTAAAAAATAAAGTCAACTTGCCTACCATAGGGGTAGACAAACATCCACATGAGTGGGGCCACGGCGGACCGGGAGCATACACCACAGCCTCTATAAGAGCCACGGAGGATGATTTGTATATAGGAGCTGAGTAATGTGCGTTGAGCTGAGTTGGGTTGAGTTGTGTAAGTGAGTGATTGAGGAGAAGGACGGACGGAAGGAGGGAAGGAAGGAAGAAGGGAAGGAGCCGGGATGCCGCAGGAAAAACACAAAACCACACAAAGATGTGGGGAAAGCCATGTGGTGCTCTGATCCTTTTGGAAAGCCCGTCCTGAGTTCAGCAGGCCAAAACACTCCAACTACTGCATATGAGCACTCCTGGAAAGCCAAAAAGACAAAAAACACACACAAAAAACGTGCGGTCCAGCTGGGAGTGTTCCGCTACAATGGTTCTAACGTTTGGACCAAAGACTCGCTTGTTTTCCAAATATCTTGAAGACATCAAGATACTTACGCCCGCAAGAAGGTCATGGGACTTCCACTTTCTCGCTTGAACTCCGGTGGAAAGTGTGACACCAGTTACACCAGTCCTTCGGCCACGAGTCAGGAGTCAGGAGTCATCCTGAAACCCACTGATTTGGGCGTTTCTTTGGTCTTTGACCCAGAAGTCTTGTGGAGACGAAGCAACAAAATGGCCCGACAAGCTCGGGAGGTGAAAGGAGGTAAGATCTTCGAAGAGTTGAAGATGACAATTCTAACAGCATCCCGTTTAGTCATCCCATCCCACCCACCCACCCATCCATCCATCCATCCCACCCGTTTAGTCCTCACTTTTAGACTTTTTAGACTATTTTAATCCGGTTAGTCATTTTACGGTCCTCCTTATCCATGTCCACAAACAATGCGTGGTCTCGCACAGCGCAGCACTTCCCCGAAAGGTATCCCAGTGGTCTTGTGATGTTTTGCAATGAGGGGTCCATGAAACATGTCATATCAGGAGTTATGTTCCTTAGTCACTAGCAGCTTACGTCACGGAGAGCGAGAAAGTCAAAACAACAAGGTTATCATTTCATAGAGGAAATTGAGATATCCATCCATTTCCACCATGTGTCTGTCACCACGCCGCTAACCCAGCCCAGCGGCTTCAACGCGGCCGCCTTCGCCTCGACAGCAATAGTGCGTTCCCTGGTCCTTTCGTCACTAGCAACAAAAACCTATATACTTTGATGGACTAACTACTTGCAAAGCATGACGATGAATCATTACAAATATACTAGTTATTACTAGTTTGTTCATATAGATATATACCCAAAGCCCATTTCTTGGTTGACCAAAGAACACATGAAACCATCACATACCATCACCGAGCACACAAACGGGTTCGGCGCGGTTGAGTGGCTCCACGCGATAGGTGCTATTGGTTGCTGTAGATTAAAAACAAAAAAAACTATAGAATCATTACACAAGGCAACTTGGGAGGGTAGATCAGATATATATATATTGATCTATATCTTTATACATCAGAGATAAATTAATCATCCCACTGATGACCTCCAGAACAAAGATTGAGCAAGCGCCATCGCATTCCTCTCACACGCCTGCTGACTCAGGAGCTTCTCCGGGCAAAAGCCGTCCTGGTCTGGTCGTCCAGGTCAAGTCGCTACGGCGGTCCGCCCGTGGATTGTTTTGCATTGCCCGTGGTGTCTCCAAAATGATTACTTGGATGGTCTGGGATGGACAGTGAGAATAAACCCACAATTGCTTTAAATTGCTTTGATCATTTTCCGAGGACCAACGCAGTGGTTTTGGGGTCCATGATCATCTGCAGGGGACGTATCAATGGGAGTTACTCAGTTCTTACTTGATGGGGTCAACCTTGAATAGTGGGGGCAACTGCATTGAATCAAAGAGTGTTTCACAGTCCAGTCAAGGTCTTCAGGTCACACCATCACTCACAGGTTGACTCGTGCACGCAGACTCGAAGCTGATCTGCGGCTCCAAATGTACAGCCTACTGTACAGTTGACAAAAGAACGTCGAACGCCCGGGGCCGTGTATCGTTCTGAGTCTGAGACTATCCCTAGATGTCCGTTGAGCGTTCCATCTAACGAGCAAAGACCTTCTCGGTGGGTTCGCATCAACGATCACCAATGATGACGACTTGAAAAAACAAACTGGTCCAGGGAAATGTTGCCCAGAGCTTGAAAACTGTTGCATGGCCCGTGATCATATAGGTCTTGGCTCAGAATGAGCTGCCCCCCATCGTAACCCAAAGCAGGGAACACTAATAAAAAACAGGTTTTGCATCTGCCATTGCATGGCGCCCATGTCCATTTCCAATTCACCCTAAACACTGGTTGAACTAACTGACCATATCTTAATTTGTTTAGATGAACAAACTTCTTCACTTGTCAAGAACCCGAGTATCTTAGGTCTCAGGTGTCTAAGCAGTTAAACTTAATGGATACTGATATAATCCCCCTGAACAACCCCAAGTCGACCCAGATCTGGGCGCCCCCGACAAACTGAGCACTTGCCGCGGCAGAGTGATGCGGGTCATACCGGCTGGGCTGGGCACCATGCCCCGCCGGCATCTGGAGAAGATGGAGTTTCGTCTGGACGATGAACACTACGGACATCTCACATATTCAAATTTAAAGGATATGTAAAAAACAATTGATGCTTAAACAAATAAACAACTGTTCCACTGCGTATTATATATAAAAGTCTTGTTTTGAGGGTCGATTTTGTTTTGTTTTTGTGTCGTTGTTTGTCCGTGTTTGTCTGTTTGTCCCTCCACCAGCGGTCTGAAAACTGATATCAACGTATCGACGCGTCGACGCGGAGCGGTCTGCGGTCTGACTGAGTTGGACACAGTCTTGTACTTGGGATCGACTAAATCCTCAGCAGGCTTGTGGCTGTCAAATGGATATATATACACAAAAGCTTAATAAGGGGCCACTTCATAAATAGAACAAATACTCTGATATCGCTGTTATCTGTCTACTTCACATTGTTTCCCCCTTGCAACAAACCTCATATAGATATATACATATATAGATCATGAACTTGTCCAAGTGGAATACGTTCCCCACAGTTGCCAGAATTTGCTCGTTGTGTTCGCATAGGAAGACACGAGATCTTTTGGGAATCGATGAGAATCGACTGTCCACAATGCTGTCCAGTGAATAAAGTGTTTCCTCCAACAACACAACCATGATTAACCATTTAAAAAAAACAGGGATCCACATACAGTACCTTGCAAGGTGTTAGGGTGTGTGTGTGTGTGTTTCTGGCGGGTTGGGGGGATCAACCAAAACTGCATGCGGTTGGATCCCAACATCACCATGTTTAGCTCTCCGCCCCTTTTCCGAAGAAAAAACCGCCCCATCCAGCAATGACCTCTCTCATCCTCTCTCACCTTTTCTCAGCCGAGTTCCATGTGCATCTGCGCCTCGGTCCCTTGTTCAACTCTCTCCTTCTCCCTTCGATCGCATCGCTTTGCGCTTCGAGGCCCCCCCAACATCGGGTCTCAACATCACGCCGGATGGAGCATAGCATTCATCCTCGCGGAACGGGACATCGGGTGGAGGATCAGCAGGAACGCGACGAACGCGTCATCAGCGGGCATGAGGGGGATCAAAGAACTGGTGGGACCGGTGGTTGTCCGAAGCTGGTCAAGCTACAGGTTTGGACCCATCCCATCCCATCCCCATATGCCTGCAGCAGGGACATAGGACATGTAGATCCATGGTATATACTGTGTTTTGTCCAAACAGGATCCCTACAACCTCAACTATCCAACTATCCTCAACTGTTTCATTCAGTATACCTCAGGAAGGAATCATACCACGTTTTCCTGCTGTATCGGTTGTCCTACGGTGCCAATGTATGTCTTCCATCCATCCCATCACCATCGCATCCTCCGCCCCATCCGCCCCCAGTCGCCTGCGGCGAACCGCAGAACCCGCGCGGAACGTCGCACGGAACGACGCGCGGAACGGCGCACCCCCAAGGTTTTCAGCAGCGACTTGGTGGGTGGCTTCTGACTCAAGCGCTTGACCTCCAGCGACTCTCTCCGTGCACTCTCTTCGACCCCTCTTTTCCACCAAGAATGAAGAGCATTGAGGTCAAGAGTGTGGTGAAGAGCACGGTGAAGCAAAATGCTCAGTGAATACCAGCGGTGACAGAACAAGGATCAAACCAACCAGGGCATCGTCAGTCGACTTGAAAGGAACCCTAAGAGAAGGGATGAAAAGGGTACTAAAACAAGAACATGTTTAGTAGTTTTGTATAAAATAACACCAAAAAAAAAAACTAAGAAAAACAAAAAAGACCTAAAAACCTTAACAAGGAAACTTCGAATTTGTTCATCTTCTTCCATGCCAAATTTGAGAATCCGTAGACTCTCCATCAGTAGGGGCGGAGAAGCTACAGTACATGGGCTGCCTCCAGATCGGTCCAGGGTCCGGGGAACCTGGACCCAAATCCCGGATGCTTTGGGTGGAAGAGGAATCCGTCTGTGAAAAGGGTCAGCGGTCCAGAGTCCATACGAGACGCTGGACGCTGGAGACTCCGTTCAGAGCCCAAAGTTCTAAGATCCCGGAGAGAGAATCACGATGAGCACACAAAAAAAAGCATCAAACAAATCTCTTGATACTTCCGAAGTCCTAATACTATAGGGTCACTACTTCTCCTTCCCCGAGGTCTTCTGCTCCTCATTCACCACCCTCAGTCGTCCCACGACAACCAACGTCGGGCATCCCGACTCCGCCCGACCTCGGGGTCCGTTCGGACCGCTGGGAACGGGACCGGTCTCGGGACGACCCGTCTCAGCTGGTTCTACCCACAGCGAGGAGAGGATGGATGTAATTGGATGTGGTCCAAGGCCTCCAAGTGAAAACATGTGAGTTCACTGCCAGTCTCAGTCGAACTAGGTAGGTCATGTGAGAAGGGACGCAGCGAAGAAAGTCGAACACGTTGGGACGCGAAGAAAGTCCATCGATCGAGTGATGGGTCTTCTGAGTTGGACCTTCTGAAGTAGTTGGAGTTTCTCAATCTGTCGATCAATCTTGAACCTTTCCATACACGACTATATAGTGGGACTGGCATAGACAAACCTACATCTGGGGTGGTTGTCTCAGCAGTCAATGTAGGAAATATGGCAGTCCGATAGAGTGTCTGCATGGATATGCAAGTGTAAATACACAACCCTACGGCGCTCCCTTGGGTTTGGACGAGGGAGGTCGCTGCCATGGGACATCTACCTGGCCGCAATGGTCAAGGTGCAAGGATCGATTGAAATACCTGAGCAAGGGGTAAAGAACAAAACACAATTGCCATGTATACCAGGACCTTCCAAGGGGTGCCCAATGGAAGCTCCTACACTCCCTACACCACTAAGGGACCTCCATTGGACAACCCTTGAAGGTCCAGGTATATATATATATATGTTTGAATTCTTTTGATGGTTTCAGTGACTTGAGTGGTGAATGTAGGTGTATTTACCTCGAGCATTCGGAGTTCAGTTTCACTTGTCCCGGATCCCCACAATTGTAGTGAAAGTTATTACTGTGGGAATCATGAGAAATTGACAACGAGAACCAGAACCTCATGGTTTGTTGCGCCAAGACACACGATGAAATTCCGTGTCCCGCCAAAAACGTTTTCGCAGTGTCCAAAACATTCCAAAACGGTACCACCCAAGTCTTCATCCGACTGTTACTGCCATACTTCTGAGCGTCCGCAGCCACTTCTCACTAGCACAAACTGATAAAGTTCGACCAATCCCACTTCCACCGAGAAGGCTAGACACCGAATGGCGTGCAATTACATAAGAACAATAGAACCCAGCCGAGGTCTCTACTGTCCATTGACTGTTAAACAATCTTTTTCGACCACCCTTGGTGGGCCGTGGTGTTGTGGGTCTAGACCAACACCTTCGAAGGAACGCTCTGCACACTGCTTCCCGCTCACCTGCACCAAGCGAGGCACATAGCCTTGGCTGCCCACATAGACACCCTCCTGGAGGTCCCGAAGAAAGGGGCGGAAAGCAAACGCTGGTAACCTGGTAACCTGCCGTGGTGACGCCTCACCTTCCAAATCCTCCCTTCGTCCTACCGCGCTTTCTTCGCCTCTTCGCGTTTCACCCCGCTCTACCGGGTGGTCTACTGGGCCTCGCCGTTGATCTCTGCCTTGCGCACCGGCTTCCGGCCGTCGAGGCCGGCGCCGTCGAAGCCGCGGTAGGGGAGCGCCATGGACAGCTGGACGGGCGGTGGAATGATGGGATGATGGAGGACATTTAAGAAGGGAACTGGTGGTAATCAAGTGATGTAACATGTTATTAAGTGATATGCTAATCAATTGGGACTAGTAACTTAGTATAGCTTTAGTGATATCAAGTGATACTTCAAGTGATGTAACATGTGTGGGTGATGTGATCTGTAAGGAATTCCAGGGGCTCCGAATGTGTGATGGGATGTGCGAACATGAGGTGAATATTGTGGCACCTGGGCGCCGGTGGCATCTTGTGCAGGAGTTCATGGTTGAACCTGACTGGTGGCATCAAGATCATATTGCCTTTGAGATTTGAGCCATTTGTGCAAAACGAAGAACCCACACAACGCATTGCTAGCATATTTTGACAAGTCACTTGATAGGGACATATTCATACTGAAGAATATCATAGAATATCTAGGACAAATGTTGGCACTCATGCCTAGGGACGGCAGATTTTCAAGCACCAAACAAACCTTGTTCCTTTGCTTTCTGGTGGAGCAAACCACAAGATGTACACTTCGATTGACTGGCATACAGAACCCTCCCTTCTGTTCAACAAGAAACATTCTCTTCCTAAGCCAAACCAGCACATCTTCCCACACCATCCTTCATGTGAGTGGACACTCGGATCTGGATATCTACAAATGAGTCTACAAATGTACCAAAGAATTCCTCCTTCACTTCTGCCACATCTGCACCTCTTCTGATTGCAAAGATGTGGACTCGAGCGAATCAGACTCGAAGCATTCGTGTGGTCGTGCGGTTGCAGTCTCCAAGATTCAGCGGTCTCAGGTCTTGCAGATTTGAACAGTGGAGATCTTGCAACAAGATGATTTACGAAATTGTACAAACGTTGCTTTGTTGCTTGCTTTGAACAATGGATTAAGATTATTAAAGTGATGATTGAGCAACATGTTTTGCTTGCTGACGTCTTGGGGTATTTGGGGTTTGGCCTTCATCATCTCTCATCCAACCCCAAATCTATTGACATCCCCTGTGCAGCCTCCATTGCGAAGCTCAAATTAAACACAAACATATCGAAACGATCCTCAGCTGTCATGTCATCATCTGTCTCTGCTGCTTCTCAGGTTCAGGGGACCAATTTTCACCTGAACAGTCAACACCGATCAGGTCATCTCACCAAAAGAAGAACTCGTCAGGAATAAGAACAGGGTGGAACAGGTTTCTTTTGGCGGGGGGGGCAATGCTGTACTCGTCGATCCGGTGACTTCTGGATCTAGCTTTCCCTCCCAGCTCTGATTTTCCACACAAATCTTCCGCGTTCAGAGGCGTTCAGCAAGGGCCGCAGGCAGCACGGGATCTGGCCACGTGAGCTGTGCTGGAAACCTTGATAGATTCCCCGCTCTTATGACAAGAAGCCTTACTCATTACAAGCAAGTGGGTTTATGGCATGGCTCACGTGCTCTTGGACCAGGGGCCAGAACTTGCACTCCATGTCACCGGAGCGGTCGACTGAGTTGGGCTGAGTGTTCCCTCGACGTTGCACATACACTCCTTGAAATCTGGATGGCATGGCCTCAAAAGGAATACCCAACAGGTGGTGAACTCTTCCATGATTGTTTCAAGGAGTGTACCTGGTGTAAATGGCCATTCTCAGTAGCCTTCTTTTTGAGGGGCGACTCTTTTGGGACCGAACATGCGGGGCGCAGTCATCAGAATGTTATGTTTTTTTTTCTGCTGCGGAAACTCCTTTCCAGGTTTTGACGATGACAC